GGATCCAAGATGGGAGACTAGGCAGACACACTATCCAGACGTTCCACAACATAGTCTTGAAAGGAGCAAGGAAAACAGCTAATGATGACAATGCTGGATGCCAGAGCTTCAAAGGAAAGGAAAAAGAAGTAGATCAAATACTGATGAAAGGAAGAGACTGAATGAAACCAGTGAACAAGGAACTGGTAAATTGCTAACCAGAACAGCGTGGCTGTTTGGAATTACTGAAAGTAGCATTCTGACTGGAGCAGGAACCAAATAACACAGGCAGAATTCTGGAAGAATAAAAAAAGAAAATAACAAATTGAAAAAATAATGGAAAATTAGAAACCATACAAAAACAGCAATTAAAAGCCCAAAAATTAATGCTAAAATTTGAGAAATGGATTATGAATTGGAAGAACAAAAGAGTAGAATTGAATCAATGAATACAGAATTAGTGTGATTGAAGACAAATCTCTCAACACCAATCTATTGGAGTAACAATCAGAAAAAGCAATTAAACAAAATGAGGAAAGTTTCATTTGGGAGATCATGAAGAGGAATTATTTACTTGTGATTGGAACTCCAGAACAGGAAAAGACAAAAAAGCACCAAGAAAATTGTTGAAGATTTGTTGGAAGAAAAGTTCCCTAATATCATGAAAAGTGGAAAGATACAATCAAGGAAGCTCAACAAATTCCAAACAGGATAGACCCCAAAACAAAATCATCAAAACATATCAAAGAAAAAATCTTGAAAGGAGCTTGGGAAAAATGAAAAAATCACCTACAAAGGAGAATCAATAAGATTAAGCTTTGATTTCTCTGCAGAAACAATGCAGGCAGGAAGGCAATGGGATGATATATAAAACACAGAAAGAAAAAAAATTGCCAAACAAGAATTACATATCCAAAAAAATTGTCTTTTAAATATGATGGTGTAATTAGTATGTTCCCAGATAAACAGAAATTAAGAGAAATTTGCAAAGACCAGACCAACATTACAAGAAATGCTAAAGGGGTCCTGTGGACCTAGAACCACCAATGGTAGACAACAACCAGAGATTAAGACATATAGCAACATCACCAGGAAATCAATGCAGATATAGAAATATCAAAATTAAAAATAAAAATACAAGATGGAAAATAAAGAACCAGAGATGTCAATTTGTAAATGATGATATCTACAAAGCAAAAACAGAGAATAAATGATGTAGTACAGAACTTCTAAATGGAGAGGAAATCAAGATAGAATGGATTGCTTTACATTTTGGAAGATAATAATAAATTGTGTGAAATACTACACAATAGTGAAGTAAATAATAACTTCAAAGAAAATAAATAAAATAATAAATAAAATAACCTCAAAGTGAATAATAACCTCAAAGAAAATTACAAAACTTTCACAGAAAAATGAAAAAAGAAAATCATAAAGTCTCAGAAAACACTAAAACAATAACAATGAAGGAACTAATAAGAAACATCCATAAACAAAATGAGCTCAGCACAGAAAAATATATGGAACAACCAAAAAGCACAAAATGGCAGCAGTAAATTTATACCTATCAATAAATACAGCAAATGTAAATGGATTAAATACACCTGCCAAGAGACAGAGAGTAGTAGAATGTATAAGGAAACATGACCCATAGTCTGTCTACAAGATATACCTTAGACACAAAGACAAAAATAAGCTAAAAATCAAAGGATGGAAAAATATATATCAAGCAAACAGCAACCATAAAAGAGCATGTTCTTTGTCTCTTATTTATTCAACATTATGTTTGTGAAATACATTCATGTTGTTGATATAACTAGTTGATTCTTTTTCACTACTGTGTAGTATTTCATTTCTTATATCTACCATGATATATTTATTGAGTCTACTGTTACGTTATTTATAGCTTTTGACTGTAATGAATAATGCTGATATGAAGATTCTTGTGCATTTTTTGTGCACATATGTATGCATTTCTGGAAATTTCTGGGTTTTAGGGTATGCAAGTGGTCAACTTTAATATATACTTCCAAACCATTAACCTCCCATTAGGTGTTAATGTCACTGGGTCAACCTTCAACACGATGGATCCTCTCCCTTAAGGCAGCCTGCAGGCACCCAGGCTCCAGGATGATCTCTTTACATACATCATCACACTTAGAAAGTGAAAGCCTAATTCTACCATACAGAATGATCAGGCAGCACCTTCCCAGGCCTAAGTCCTCCAAGTTCTTCCTATGCTTTGCACATTAGGTCACTGTGTACTCACCAATAAAGCAAATTCAGCTTTACCTCCATTTTCTTCCCAGAATAATTCTTCCACAAACAATATCTTTTAAAAATAATGGTTATAAAACTCAACATCCATGTTCATAAAAATCAGCATTCATACCTTACACCAGGTACAAAAGCTAACTCAAAATGGATCTAAGATCTAAATGTTGAAGCTAAAACTATAAAAAGTTCCTAGAAGATAATATAGGGTCAAAACAACAAGACCTAATTTTTGGCACAAATAGCCTATTAAATGAAACTAAAAATGAAGGAATTTATGACTGATAAATTAGACAACCGGGATCTCTTAAAAATGAAAAAACTTATGCTTATAAAAAAGAGAATCTACAGACTGGGAAAAATGTCTTTGGTAATGACAAATCTCATAAAGATCTAGTCTCTAAAGTATATAGAAAGCATCAATAATGATAAAAAAAACAAACAATCAAGTAAAAAAAAGTGGGCAAAGGACATGAACAGACATTTCACCAAAGAGGACATTCAGGCGGCCAACAAATTCACAAAAAGATGCTTGTTATAATTAACCATTAGAAAAATGAAAATACAAACTACAATGAGATATCATCACACCCTTAAAAAATAGCAATGATCAAAACAACAGAAAACAAAAAAATGCTAGCAAGGCTTATGGGGTGATTTAAACTCTTGCACATTGCTGTTGGGATTATGATATGGTCCAAACACTGTGGAAAATAATATGGTGCTTCCATAAAAAAGTAGAAACAGAAATACCTTATGATCCATCAATCCCATCCCTATGTATATATCCTAGAGATATAGGAGCAGAGATACAAATAGACATATACACACCTAAGTTCATTGCAGCATCATTCATGATAGCAAAAAGATGAAAATAATCTAAGTGCTCATCAACATATGAATAGCTAAACATATTGTGGTATAAACAAAAAAATGGAATACTTTGAACAATAAGAAGTCCACAAAACATCTTATAATAAGGATGAATTTGGAAGACTTTATACTAAGTGAAATAAGTGAATCACAAAAGGACAAATATTTGTATGGCCCTACTATTATAGAAGGTCAAGAATGGATACACACTCAGAAAGCAAAGTTCTTTGATGGTTGCAAAGGGATGGAGAAAGAGGAAGTGGAATCACTTTATAGATAGCAGAACTATCTATAATCTATCTAACCTATCTATATCTCTACTACTTTTGGTAATGGGAAAGGCAATCCCAACTATAAGTGAAATCAGCACAACTTCACTAAGGTAAATAAAGACATTTAGAAGTACATGAGGAAAAAAAAAAAATTTGGTATATAACATAAACAATTAATCAAAAACAGTAAAAGAAAAAACTACAAAATATGTGTGTGGTTACGTAAGTAGATAGGGATGCATATATGTGTGTAGGAAGGCATATACAAGTAAATGCATGTTATGTTTAGGTGTATCTGTGAGCATATGTATAGACATGTTTGTGGGTGTTACATACATAACAAAACACATAGAGGCCACAGTTATGAAGGCTCCTTGAATATATCCAAACAACTTGTGGGACTGCTTTACTGGGTCAAAAGGCTTGGGACGATAATCTTGGGAAACAACTTAGTCAATTGGCATAACTCATAAAGATAATGTTCACAAAGATAATATTCTACACCCTAGTTTGGTGTAGAGTCTGGGCCTTAAATTCTTGTGAGACAATATAACTATTGGTCTCTACTATTCAAGTAAAAGAGAATGAAGGAAATGAAAGGCTCAAAGAAGAAACTCTTCCACAAGACTAATAGTCCACATGGACCACAGCCTCTTCTAACCAGAGTCCACAAGAACTAGATGGTGCCCGACTACTACTACTGACTGTTCTGGCCAGTGACACAACAGAAAGTCCTGGATAGAATGGGAGAAAAATGTAGAACACTCAAATTCCTGAAGGCCAGATCTACTGGACCAATAAAGACTGGAGTAACCTCCGAGACTGTTGCCCTAAGATACCCTTTGCAGTTGTAATTGAACCTGTTCTGCAGGTCCCCTTTAGGTGACATAATAGATTGGCTTACAAAATAAACATCACTCATGAGTAATGTGTTCCCTTAAAAGATTAACTATATGGGACCAAATAGTCAACATTTACCCAAAAGCAAAAATGAGAAGGAAAGATGGGAAGGGAAGTGAAATAATGGAAACAAAACAAACAGAATGGAAATAATGAGAATGCTGATACATTGTCAAAATTGTAACCAATGGCATGGAATAACTTGTATAAAAATTGTTAAAGAGGAATCTAATTTGTTGTGTAAACTTTCAGTTAAAACGCAACAAAGTATTACTAAAAAAAGTATTGCAATAAATCACATATGACTTTTAAGCAATAATCTATAAGCTCATGATTTGAGGCACTATTTTTTTTTAACTGTAGTAATAACAACAACAACATAGTCTTAATCATATAATTTGAACCCAGGATCCTAAACCAGTATGTCCCCAAATAAATAAATAAATGCTGTTGTCATTGTTGTTATGTGCTGTCAAGTCATCCCCGACTCCTAGTGACACCTCCTTGGGTTTCCGAGGTGGTATCACTACAGAAGTAGATTGCACATCCTTCCTTCCAAGGAGTTGCTAGTGTGCTTGAACCACCAGTCTTCTGGTTAGCAATCAAGTGCCTCAGGAAATAAATGTTCTACATATATATTCTCAGGAGCTCTGGTGGCATAGTGCCTAAGACATTTGACTGCTAACCAGAGGCTGGTGGTTCAAACCCACCATCCACTCCTCAGGAGGAAGGTTGGGCAATCAATCTACTTCCCTAGAGATACCGTCTCGGAAACCCAAGGAGGGGTCACTATGAGTAGGATCTGACTCTATGGAAGTGAGTTTGGTTTTGGTATATATATTCACTGTCTTCAAGTCTATCCTGATTCATAGTGACCCCACAGGATAAAGTAGAACTGCTTTATAGGGTTTCTAAGGATATAAATCTTTATGGAACAGACTTTATTATCTTTTTCCCACAAAACTGGCTGCTGGGTTTGAACTGATGACCTTTAATTAGCAGACAAATGTTTTAACCACTGTGTAATCAGAGCTTCTTATGTATATCTATGTACAATTTTATAGCTGCTCTAATTTCACACTAATGAAAATGCCCAATAAACATATAAATAAAAGATGACTTGTACTCACACAATCCAAAAATCCATTACCCGAAACATTTTAGTAGAACTTAGTCTATCAAGTGAGTCTTGGATTAGGAAGGGGACATATTATTCACAGATTGCTTCATTTAAGCACTACAGGAAAGTCTATTCATCTGTACTCAACCATCTTACCTTCTTACCAATAACAACCTGGTGAAACACCATGAATTATTCCCCTCCCTGCCTGTGGTAGTTCAGTTTGTGGGTCAACTTGGCTAGGCCTGGTTGAGTGACTGGACAGCTGGATGTAGTAGTGTTCCCCATGACGAGACCGGTAATCAACTCCGTGGTGGAATCTACTGTGAGCAGCTGAGTAGCTGCCCTAGGGACATGGTCTGCTTCCTGTATGTAAGAAGCCTTGGAAAATGGTCTCTAGCTTATAGCATGCTTGAACCCTGCATGTAGTCATGTCGTTGTTTAGCAGCCTGCCATGCTCTGCCGACCTTGGGACTTTCAGTGGCCTTAAATTAATGGCCTGCTGTGTGGTTTGGTAACATTGGGACTGTGCCATTTTCTTTGTTGACCTTGGGCTTGTTAGCCTCAGCAGCCAGTAGCTGCCTGGGTGAAGAGATGTCTCTAGCTTCAGTAGGCTGGGAGCAAGAGGCAGAGCTGAAGCCCAAGGTCAAGGGACTTTCACACAGCCCTTAAAGCCTGGCACTTGGAACTCAGACTTCTAGCCTCCCGAGCTGTAAGAGAATAAACTCCTGTTTTCAAGGCCATCATCCCATTTGTGGTATATTCCTGTCAGAGAGGCACTGGGTAACCAAAACACTACCTTTACATAATAATCTTTACACACCTGACATTTAATCAAGTATGTAAAGATTATTACAGTGATGTGAAGTTCCATATCTCTACATCTGTATCTTGATTCCAGATGTAAATATAACTATGTTTTCACCATCAGTTTCATAGGTCACAAGACACTTATTTTTCTGATGATTTTGCTGATTTGATATAGAATTTCCTTTTTATTGCTAGCAAAACTATTCTTATTCATAGAACAAGAGAAGTAGATGAGATGGCAATTACATAGATGACTCCATTGGGGTAATAGAAACTCCTTTGAGAGTTATTGGATGGGGCCTAGCAGCTGTAGTTTGGTACCGAATTTCTTAGAAATTCATATAAGTGTCTTTATCATTAAAAAAAAAAAAAGGGAGGATGAACTAGGTTGACTTGACTATTCTAGGAATGTCAAGGAACTATATTTATTGGAAGGAGACCTCGTGGCTCATTGGTTAACCACTCAGCTGTTAAAAAAAAAAAAAAAAACACTACTGGGGAGTCGATTTGACTTATAGAGACCCCTCCTTGGGTTTCCGAGGCAGTATCTCCACAGAAGCAGATTGCTAAATCTTCCTTCCAAGGAGTGGCTGGTGGGTTTGAACTGAACGTTTTTGGTTAGCAGTCAAAAGCTATAGGCACTACACTACCAGAGCTCCCTATGCTTTTATGCATCCTTGAATAAAGGCAAAGTCAATGGAGTTCTTTTGCCCCCTGGTGGTGAGCAACATGCACTGATCATTAGAAAACAAATGACCTATAATATGATGGTTCATAACAACAAAGAGATGACCTATAAGAGATGACCAGGAGCTCTGGTGGTGTAGTGCCTAAGACATTTGACTGCTAACCAGAAGGTTGATGGGTCAAATCCACCAGTCACTCCTCAGAAGGAAGGTTGGGAAATCTACTGTAGTGATACTGCATCAGAAACCCAAGGAGGAGTAGCTATGAGTCTAATCTGGCTAGACAGCAGTGTATTTGGTTTGGTTTTGGTATAAGAGATGACCAGGTAATTTATTGCCAAACCCAAAATACACATGTTGTTGTTAGCTACTGTCAAGTCCTCTCAGACTCAGAGACCCTATGTACAACAGAAGGAAACACTGCCTGGTCCTATATCATTCCCACAATCCTTTCTGTACCTGAGCTCATCGTTTCAGCCACTGTGTCAATCCATCTTCTTGAGGATCTTCACTGACCTGCCACTTTAGCAAGTATGATATCCTTCTCCAGTGAAGGTCCCTTCTTACAACATGACCAAAGTAGTGAGACAACATTTTGCCATTCTCACTCCCAAGGAGCATGGAGGCTGTACTTCTTCCAGGACAGATTTGTTCATTCTTCTGGAACTCTATGATATTTTCAGTATTCTTTGCCAACGTCATAATTCAA